TTCTTATTTCCATGTTAGAAATGAGGAAACCAAGGAAAAGAGGGATTGAAGAACTTGTCCAGGGAATGATAATACAAGAAAATGAATAGCTTCTTGGAATCCAAATAACTCAAGCAATGTGAAGAACCTAAACCATCCTAATAAAGAAGTGAGTACAGACACACAGACGCAGAGGACTCTGGGAAGGGAGAAGCGGTGTCAACCACTGTCCTTAAAAATGCCTCTGTGAATGAACCCATGCAGTCTTCACAGAACCTGTCCAGGCACGTGGCACTATTATATCTCTCTACAAGTGAACAAACTGAGGCATAGGGAAATTACCTTGCCCAAGGTTACACAATAAATGGTAGAATGAGGATTGAAACTGAGTAATCTGACTGCAGAACAGGTGTGTTCGTTATGTTGACTCTCAGTAAGTAACATTTCCCTTACCCCAACTCATCAGTTAAATTGCAGAGAAAATGGGTAAAAGGGAACGTGCAGGTAGCTCTGAAAAGGAAACAGAGCCCTGAAATGGAAACCTGGGGTGAAAGTGGACCAGTCTGCTTTACCTTTGTGATAAGGGAGAGGTTTTTGAGTTAAGTGTATGTTTCAGATCATTCATTCATTCAATCACTCATTCATTCATAAATAACTACTCATAAATAATAGTTTCCTTCTCCCACATAGGAAAGGGGTTGTCACTGGGCATTAGAAAACAACTATTGTTTTAATGAGCACCTCATTTAATCCTTCAACCATGCTGTGAATGATGCATTATCATCACCATTTGGCTGCAAGGAAGCTGAAACTCTGAAAACTCAATTGCCAAGAATCCTAAAACTTGCATGTGCTGAGCCAAGAATCGGGGCCAGGACTGCCTGACCTCAGCGCCCACACACTTCCTCATATACCTGGCAGGGGGGAGGGGGAGGGGTTGGGAGAGGAGCCTGGCATTCAGGCTGATGGTCAGGACTCACTGTGTCTACAGATCCTTTAGTCACTTCGATTTTAGGTGGTTGGTGGTGAACCATTAGCAAGAAGTGGCGCTTACAAAAAACAAACCTGTTGTCTTTAGTTTAATTCTTTATTTGAACATCAAAGAGGTTGAGAAAATTGTTTACAGGTGCTCGAGCATCCCACTGGATTCTTTACTTTTTCAAGGTGCAAAAGAGGTTTAAAGTGTGTTTCATTAAACAAAGCAGAGCTGCGACAAAACAGAATCACAACAATAACTGTATGCATCAGCGAAAGGGCATATTAATGCATCAAACACAATTTGGCATTTGAGCCTTTTCCCATAAAGTAAGAGCTATACACTGAAGAATATGTAGTGCACAAAAAGCATTGTTTATAAGCTGTGAGAGAACATAAACTGGCATAATGTCACTTATTAATTCAAGTCTCTATGACCAATGACCTCTCTGTGAACTCAGAGGGGTCCGTGCCTCAGGCACCTGCTATGGGACTGTATGTTGTTTCCAGGGTGCACAGCTCTGTACGTACACACTAAAGATGGGTTTGAACATGGCAGCATTTACATATTTAAAAAGTTCAGGCACAATTGGATGCAAAAAAAGAATAAAAATTTTTCTTAAATCTCCGAAAGACAGTGCAAAATTGAAGTGCCATAATAGAGGCAGCAATCACTTAGAAAACAATTTTAAATGACTTAAGAAGAGGCCACACTTTAATTCAAATGGAAAGAAAATGCAGTTAGAAACAGCATAATCACACTGCTAAAAGATGGATATTTGGGACCACAGTGAAATTCATTTGCTCCAGTTGAGAGTGAGTAAGTTTTCAGGGGGTGAACCTAGGAGGGGTGCAGTGTAATCTGCATCAACCTCCCATGACTTGCACCAAGGGGAATTATCACTGCCTTATGAGCTACTGCATGACTCTATTTGCCTGTCAAATAACTAGTTTCAAATAAGCAGATCTGCCTGTGAGTATTATACATTACTATGCTCCTAGTGATCACTCCCAGTATTCCCAATCTATCTCAGAGCTGGAAAGTACAAATAGGAAGGGATTTGCAATTCATTTCACATAGGGGTACGGGTACTGTAAACAAATGGCCATTTTAATCTTCAGATTTCAATGTGAGAACACCTTAACATGATCAAAAGTAAATTATCAGTAAGTCCCTTATTTGTTAAGGCCCTCCAAGGCATGGGATACGGCACGGTTAAGCAAGGTTACTAGGGAAATCTAATCAAAGACTGCACTCCTTAGGGCTGGATTTTGCAACCTACATCAACAGGGTCTTCTCTTTGCAAGATCTAGCCTCTCTTATCGCTGCACGACAGCATTGCACAATCATTACAGCAAGCTAGGCAATGGCTAAAAGAAACACAGACCACTAGCTGTTCTTTGGACTTTACTGCTCGTGCCACTCTTCCTTGTCTAGAACTCAAGCAGCCATTTTATACATGGCTGTCAATGGAGCTAGTTACAGGTTTGTGGTTTACAGGGCAGAACCCTGGTGTACCCCCAGATGCCAGGATTGATCTGCCTCAAAATACTTCCAATACTACTATTACTGTATTTTCCATTTTCCAAATTCTTCAACCCACTTTCCCAATCTACCTTGACCCCCTAAGAGGATCATGTCTTTCAAACCTTAAATTGCCTCAGAGTGGAGAAAAAGCACAGGCAACAGTTGTGCAGCATTTTTCCTACACTCAACGGCAACATCAGCTGCAAAATGTCAGCTGTCCATTAGTGGCACTTCGAACAGGAATAAAAAGAGATTTCCAAAATTGTTTGAGACTCCTGTGTGATGTTCTCTGCCCATTTCAAACTTAGCAGTATCTTAACATGAATACAAACACATTAGATGAATATTGTAAAACCCTCCACTGTATTATTGTTTGGATTTAGCTGGTATTATATCATCTATAGTCCCAGAGGTTTTTTTTTTGTTTTGTTTTTATTTTTTTTAAAAGAAAATCTAAGTATAAACATTAAAAAGAACCCACTGACCCATTAGCTACTGTCCAAAAATATTACTACTGATATTTTGGTAAAAGCAAAATTAGCTGCCCTGAATAATTTTTCCTTTTCAGGTATAATCTCTGCTACATAAGATTGTCTGTCACTCAATATCCAACAATAGGCATCTGGATTAGTGCTGTTTTGTCTACTGTGGATACAAAAGTTGATATGAAATGTGATCTTCATTTAAATGAATAATCACCAGGCTTTAGGCATCACTGACTAAATACATGACAAGGTAGCTTGAAAAGTATACAAAAAAACTAAATATTTTCCCTTGGTTTTTGCATGTTAACCCAGTCAAATTAAATTCAGAACAGAACTACTACATTCATTTGTCTGATAAACAAGCAATGCAATTTCAAAAAAATATATATTATACTACTATATAAGGTGCTCCTTAAACAAACAACAAAAGAATTATGTCTTTAAACATATTCTTAACACAGATACATAAAAATTGCCCCCAAATTTAGATGTACATATACGAAAAAAAATTTTTTTTTTAATTTTTGGCCCTCCCAGTTTCCCAGTTCTTTGGTGATCACTTCACTGGGCAATCAGAAATGAATGAAACCCACTTTTTCAAACAAGGCATACCAAGAGAAGCCCTAGCAGTTTGCCTGGGTTATCAGCTAATAGATCACCTCTCAATGGCATTCAAATTATAGACAAAGAGGTCACCAGAGGAAACCAAACTTCCTTTTTAGTTAAGGAGAGGAAATAACCCATAATTGTGCTAGAAAAGCAAAGGCCCAGGGAAGGCTGCCCTGTGGCTGGGGTGAGGCTTTCTTTTTTAGCCTATAGGTCAAAGGATTCCTTGTGGCCCACCTCTGGTCTAGTTCTCCTGGCTGATGAAGTTTAATGAACCAAGCTGTGGAGGAGAGGGAAGGGGCATTTTCTTCCCAAGGCCAAACTCTAATTCTCACACAAGGGCATGTATAGTCTGAGCAGGCCCCAGGCAACCTGAGTAGTGATGCTCCCATCCCTGCCCCCCCCCAAACTGTGCTGCGCCAACTGTAGGGGTGCAGCTGTCTACCACAGCTGTCCCCTGCTGCTGCTTCCAATCAGTGCAGTGCCAGCTCTGCAGGACCCCCCTGAGCAAGGCTCACTGTGCCTCACCATTTTATCCAGTGTCTCCCCTACTTTCCTTCTTGTTTTCTAGTAGCTACAATAATCATGCATTTACTATTTAGCCCCATGCCCCAGGGCTAAAAGTGCCCACTCACGTAAACTGTGCGTGGTCACCGCCAGGCACTACACATGAATAATCCACCTTCTGTGTAAGCCACACACCAGGAAGATCTGAGTAGAGCACCCTCTGCTGATAAATGTGAGAGCCCACCAGAACAGATCCTGAAGCCAATTTTACAGCAAGTCCTGGGAGAAGAGGGCTTCCTTTTATAAAATGAAAATAAAAAGCAAAAAACAAGAACTTATCCCTTATATAGGGAGGCTTATATATGTGGAGGTGACTTAACTGAGATCAAATTTCTGTTTTCAATAAGGGAAGCAAGAATTAACTGGAACCCATCACTTGGATGTAGTGCTCTGGAAAGCCAGTCATAGAGCTTCCAACAAGCCTGGAAAAGAAGAGTATTGAGTTGACATAGTCTTGACAATTAGGGGATCTTCCTTCCCTGTATGCATCTTGTATTCCTACCAGCGAAACGAACCATCACTAAATATTCTGCTGTAGCCATTCAATGGAGCAAAAGCTTTAAGGTATCACTTTAATAAAATGATGCATTACTGCAGGAATACAAGAGGATGCTCTAATGAACCCTTGACTCGGCTTTCTCTAAGTCAGCAATTAAAGGAGCCACTTTCAAGTCCTTCCTGTGGCTTATTCTTTAAATTAAAGAGCCATTAAAAACTGCTTATCAGAGGTGAAATGTCTATTCTCCAGGCCTGGGTCTCACCAAGTAGCTTAAATGAACAGAGTCATCTGAGCCCCAGCTCACAAACTGAACTCAGTCATGAAGAGCTACAGGAACCCTCATGCTTATTAATGTAGCAAAGGGGGAAAGAGCTGTTACAAAGACTTAGCCCTGGAATCCCTTTGGCTGTTCCCAACCCAATCTGTGTCACTAAGAACTGAGCAAGCAAATGAATGGCCACTCATAGTAGAAAGCCACTGGTGGCGGGTGCATGCTGGAGTGTATGCGGGGGACAGAAATCTGCTAGTGATGCATGACATGGGTAAAATGCAGCAGGGATTCTCAGAATCTTGGGGGAGTCAGGAGCTCTTGGGCTGTGGTGGGGAAACTCTCTGCCTCCCCAGTGACGTAGTACGTTGGCAAGGAATGCGATGAAGTGGAGCCCGTGGTGGCCAGCTGGCTCTGGTTCGTCTCTTCCATGGGGGCACCCCCGTGGTTGGCAGGGGCATGCAGGCGGTGGGCATCAAGCATCTCCAGCAGCAGATCGTAGAGCGGCACCACGTTCTTGCACCTCATGCTGTACAGGTGCTCCATGCCTTTGTTACTGTGGGGGAAGACAGGGAGAGGACCACTTTAGACTCAGCCCAAGCCCCAGCACACTGGAAACTCCTAGGAAGCAGAAGCAGGAGAAACTCCAAAAACACTTGTAAGCCAATCTTTCTTCCTGTTTAAAGACCCTGCACAGGCCTGCGGCTGCAGAAGGCTGAGGCCTCTCAGAAACCCCCCGTCCGGGTCTCATCTCTGTGTGGGTGTCATCCCCCCGTCCTCCAAGGGCCATCCCACCCTCACAAACATACTCTCTCTCCGGCCACTGTCAGAGTATTTGCTATGCAGGTGACTTCCTTCCATGGTCTCAAATGAGATCCTATTCCCCGCCATTGCCAATACATCTAAAAAGAGAACTCGAGATAGACAGCCAAGAGGGAGGGAGTTTTAAAAATGTGGAAAGCAGCTCAGGAAGTTCCCTTGCTTAAACCCCTTGTGTGACTTTCCACTGAACTCAGAGTAAAATCTGAATTTCTTTCCGTGCTCTACAAGGCCCAACTGATCTGTTCCCATCTTCCTCACAGAGTTTGGCCACAGTTTTTTTTTTTTTTTTTTTTTTTTTGGTTTTTGTGCTGCCGCTTAGAGGAACTAAGCTCCTCCAAGACTTATGGGACCTGCACTAGCTGTTCTCTCTTCCTGGACACCTTCCCCCAAACCTTCATAAGCCACCTCCTTCACAAGGCCTCCCAATACCCACCAGTGGCAGCATCAGGCCCCTGCAGCCTCAACTCTTCCACATTATTCTACTGTCCTTATCACAACCTGCAATTCTCCTATTTATTTGCATTGATTCCCTTGCTCCCAAACACACATTTGTGTATGCACACACACGCGTGCACACACATGCACTTACACACAGTGTAGGTTCCAGGAGTGGCAGGGATTTGTCCAGCCTGCCACTACTGTAGGCCTAGAACACTGCCCAGAACCTTGTGAATGTTCAGAGCACAGGGGGACGTGGGCCTAGGGAAACGCAAACATATGGTGCTTCTCCTTTTTCCACTCTCCTCCTCTGTCTTGCTCCACCAGCCACAGCTCTGCTCTGTCCCGCCTCACCACCAGAGTGGAGAAAGAAAGAACAACTATGATCTAGCTCAAGATTTCCTTTAAAAGAAAAAGGTATCACAAGTAGGCAGGACCAAGAGAATGCCCTAGAAAATATCTGCATTTTTAGTAGGGGAAAAGTCAGCACAGGTTGGAGACGTGCCATGAAAACACAGCATCAAAGCTATTCGCAGGATTACAACACCACCTAAATTATGTGTTTAAGAGTTATTTTGGTTTTGTTGTGTTTTTTAATTTAAAATCTTGTTAAAGTTAAATGCCCCCTGGATCTGCCACTGTTGTCTTCATGCAACCTAACGAATTGCATTTACAGTCAGATGAAATCTGGTTTCTCTGAGCAGCAACCCATGGCTGAAGCCAAGCTTAACAAAAGAGTTCTGTGATTTAGGCTGTCTGTAGTGAGACACCTAAATATTATTTTGTGGGTGTGTATGAGTGAGAGAAAGAGAACCAGAGAATGCTCAAAGCTCTCAACAGAACAGCAACCTTTCTTCCGCTAGTCCCACAATTCCAGCAGAAACTCTACTCAGCTTTCTTACTGCTCCTGCTGTCTGCCATAGGTTGCCAATAAAATCAGCCAGGGCTGTAGATTTAGTGCAAATGTACTTAGTATTAACTAATTTGGTTTGCTAATGCTGACAAGCAGTTGTTAGACTTGAAAATTCAGCAATTTCTATCAACAAATAAAAACATTCATCTACAGCACATAGTTTCTACAATATCATTGAGATTCCTAGCTCAAAGTAAAAGTTAATATATTTTTTCCAAGGGTAAATTGACTCCCTCAGCCAGAAAATTTGGTGGAGGATATGTTAATCTGATCCATTCCCTGCTTCCCTCTCTAATATAATCATCAAAAGAAAAAGGAAAAGATTGGAAATGTTTACTCCGGATGCAGTCACCTACTCTACCTGGCCAATGTGAGTCCTTCATCAGTTACACAGGGATTCTCAGGGAATCCTGAGAACAGAGATTGCAATCACCTTCTCCCAAATTTTGCCAAGTGAAAGCATTCCTTCACTTGTGAATTTCAAATTCATAGGGCAGAGAAAAACCTGCCACGAGTCACTTGATCATTCATTCATTCACTCATTTATTCATTCATTCACTTAGTAATAATGGTGCAGGCATATACTACATGCAAGTCTTCATATAGGGCACTGTGGGGATACAAGGAAAAAAAGATACAGCAATTTCTTCAAGAAGCTAACTATTTTGCTAGGTTGTCTCTGGAAAGGATGGCACCTGGGACTCTGGTGGCACAAATTTCTTGCCATTTTAGTCATAGACTCTCAAGACTTGAAGACCCTTTAAAAATTACCTAATCCAACTCCCTTTGGACATCTTGGTCCTTTCTTCATAGCCACTAAGAGAAGGCATCTCTTTTTCACTCCCAGGGTCCTGGTGTAAGCCCAAAGTCATGTGGAGTTTGTCACCTATGGGTACCTGTCGCTCTAGTGTTATCATTTCATGTCATTGTTGTGGCCTTTCTGGAGTCTGCAATAGAGAATCCACCGCTCTCTTCACCTCTCCCTTTCAGGCTGAGCTCTGCTTGTGAGAATAATATCCACTAAGCTTTTGGCCTGCCAAATTGCATGACTATTTGGAATGGAAATGAGGCCACTTTTATTTTTACTTTTTGGCATAGAAAGACTCTATTCTCTTTCCTTGGTTCCTATAGAAAATATTCATTGAGTATTTACTAGGTGCCCAGCACTGTGTTAGGTAGCAAAGACTCTATTCTCTTTCCTTGGTTCCTATAGAAAATATTCATTGAGTATTTACTAGGTGCCCAGCACTGTGTTAGGTAGCAAAGACTCTATTCTCTTTCCTTGGTTCCTATAGAAAATATTCATTTAGTATTTACTAGGTGCCCAGCACTGTGTTAGGTAGCACTGGGTACACAGAGTAAGTCGGACCGGTTGTGACCTCGCAGAGTCACAGTGTGTTGCCTCACAGAGTTTACAGTGTGATGGGGCAGAAAGATAATAAAATGAGGAATAACAATAGGGAAGAACAGCATGTAAGCCCCAATTAGGTCTTAAGGGTCAGGAGATGCTTTCTCAAGGAGTGATATCTAAGCTATGACAGATTAGGTTCCTGTTCAGAAATATTCCCTCCCCCTGCCATGTGTTCATGATCCTCAACTTTAAGCTTCACTACGTGACTTGTTTGATCAATGGAATGTTAGTGGACATGATTCAACCAAAGGATTAAAATGCACTTGCCCAAATGGGCCATCACTATGAAAACATGTCCCAGCTAACCTGTGGGTATGAAAAGGATGAGAGACATGGTGCAGAGTCACCTGGCCAACCTGCAGGGCTGCAGCTTGAAGCAGAGTCTCCCATCTGTGCCCAGCCTCTATCAGCTGCCCCAGAGATGTGTGCATGAGCCCAGCTGAGTGGAGCAGAGCTGCCCGGCCACTCTGCAGACTGAAGCAGAGCCTCCCCAGATGACTCACGGGCCAGTCTGTTTTGGCTATAGCTCAGACTATGAGGAAATCGTAGTTAAATAGGGGCTGAATCATAAGGAGCAATATAAACAAAACAAAGGCACTTATACGTTTATCTAAAAGCAATGGGGAGCCATTTAAGGGTGTTAAGCAGACAGATGACAGGATCAGATTTAGTTTTAGACTAATCACTGACTATATCATGGAGAAGGGATCAGAAAGGATCTAGATTAAAGGCAGGGAGACATGTTAGGTGGCTGGAGCAGAAATCCACAAGAAATGATGGTGGCTTGTAACTAGCGTAATGGCAATGGCATGCTGAGAAGGGGTTCCAGATGTAGGGAGAAGTCAGCATTGACTCCGCAAGACACATCTGGCCCAAGAGTCCCTCACTGAGGATTTCCAAGTGTAAGTAGGGAAAGCATGACACAGGAATGGTAACGGATGTGCCCAGCACCTTCGCAGGGTGTGTGTGCTCACACACTTCCCTTGATTGGCCTACTCTCCCCACCTACACCCTGCACAGCCCCGCTCCAAGCACATGCTTCAAACTGAGCCTAAATATGGCCTCCTCCGGGAAGCCTTCTCTGTCACTTGCCCAGGCCCCAGGCAGATTTAATGCTTCCCTCTCTTGCCCTCCCCTAGCATTTATGCCGATTATGTGGCAGGAGCTGTCCCAAGTGCACCATCTGTATCCAGGCATTAGCCTTTCCTAGGCCAGCTGTCACAGGGGTCTGGGGGCGTGCCTCACCTCATGTGCCTGATGTGGGAGAGGATGAGGAGGAGCTGGGCCAGGCGCCGGTGCTGCTGCTGCAGAGTCAGGCCTGCTTTGGCCATCAGGTGGATCAAGGTGTCTGTGATCTTGTCCAGGACCCGGTGGATATAGTCCTTCTCTTCCAGAGACTTCAGGGTACTGGACAGAAATGTGTACACTCCTGAATGTGCAGGGAGAGAGGGAGAGAGAGAAACTCAAGGAGTGTGTGGTCCGGGGGAGCTGGGGAGTGCGTGCGATGTAAAAATGAGCCAGTGCCCTTCCACCTCACAGTGGAACAGCAGCAGGGACATTCTGGACCCATTTGAAACAAGCAACTGTATAAAATTCCTCATGAATATGCATGTCTGAGAGCACCCTGAAACCAGCGTGGCCTCCTGCATGAAAGCCAAGATTCTCGGAAAGAGACTGTTAGCCTTGGGGCCATGTTGGCAACACCGGCCTCTCAGACAGGACTGACACCAACATGAACTGGCCATTTAATGCTGCGACAGCCCTGTGAGGGAGCCATGACTGTTCTCTTTCACATCAGGAAACTAAAGGGAGAGTCTTATTAACCTGCTAAGGTCACTTGGAGAGTACACAGCAGAGCTATGACGGACGTGGTCTGCTGACTTGACACCTGGTAGTGACCATGGAGATTCTCTCGGGAGAAGCGGGAAACTCTTGCTGAGAGTCACAGAAGAGTGACGAATCACTGGCTAAGTGATCGGAAGGTGCTTTTCCAGATACAATTCAGCATCATCATGGCTCATGAGCCAACCGGAAGCAGATGGCCCCCCTCTGACATATCGTCAGAAGGTCAGCAATGGCCTAACGCTATGTCACACCACCCATGCCATTCCCCTCACTTCGTGTCCTCATGTAGGCATCTCATCACCTCACATCATCACAAGACGAAGGGTGAGTACAGTACAGTAAGATATTCTGAGAGAGAGACCAACCACGTGCATGTAACTTTTATTACAGTATATTGTTACAATTGCTCCATGTTAATATTAGTCATTCATTGCTAACCTCTTAGGATGCCTAAGTAATCAGTTAAACTTTAACATAAGTATGTATGCATAGGAAGAAATGTAGTATATGTAGGGTTCAGTACTTCCTATGGTTTCAGGCAGCCACTGGGGGTCTTGGAACGTATGCCACGAGGATGAGGGGGATGACTGTAATTTGCTTCTATGTTCCAGGTCAGGTTTGGAGCCTAAGCCCTTTTCAGCCTCAGATGAAAGGTGTAGGGTATAGTTGGGTATGGAGGACCTTGGGAACAGCTATTGTTCATGGCTGGCAGGTTTTTCCTCTCTTGCCTTTCTTCTGGTAATAGATCCTGCTCTCTGCACCATGGATAGACTTAGGACTGAAGCCAAGGCCATCATGGTACTTTGTTCTTCTGGACAGCATTGGTCCCGAGCTAGACAATCGGAGCCTTTTTTGGGGGATCCTATATGGAGGTTGTGAGACAAACTCTTTCCTCTAGGTTTTCTAAGATGGTGAGAAGAATAGGAGGCTCTTAAAGGCCCTCTTCACAGCACATGGAGCTCGTGTCTGCAGAAAGAAGCAGAGATGACAGTTGTGTGTACGAGGGGTGGGGGTGGGGCGAAAGAAAGAGAAAGGAAGGGGAGTGAGGGCAGGGAGAGGGAGATCCCTGCTCCAGTCACAAGGTCCCAGTTCTTTTTTTTAGAGGCAAAAGAAAGCATTTAATCAGAAACAGGGATTGCAACCCAGGTAGCAGTCAGAGACTGTATCATTTGAGAGGTGCAAAAGGGCTTACATTTATAAGAAATTTATATAGATTATTTAAGTATGGGTCAGATCATTTCACTCTTTACTTAAACAAAGAAGTCTTCAATTATTAGTAAAACAGGGCATTTGCACCCATGTGCAAGGAAATGCTAAATACAGAGTACAAGGTCTTAGTTCTTACATTTTTTCATTTGACCTTCGAGTTTCATAGCATCCTTCCTAAAAGATGACTCAACAAATTTCCTTTTTGATTACGATAGTGTGAGTTGTGAGCTCAGCCCAAGGACCAGATCAAGGTAACCATAAGATGAGAAGTTTTGAGAACAAATGAGGGCAGGATGGAGCAGGCTTCTCTTGGGACCCCAAGGACAGATTTTCTATCAAGTCAACACTCTAGAAATCAGTTCCTCCCTGATCACGTCATCTTGAAGAAAGCAAATGACACGGTAATTTTTTTCTTTCCAGATTATGTGTATTTAGCAACATGTGTTTGGTCTTGTCTCTACCCAGCCCACTGATCATCTCATAAACAAATTTCTTATCTCCCTCTCCTGTCTTCATCGGAACCTTCAAATTAAAGGCTCCCAAATTTCTTAATCCCCCACTTTCTTCTGGTAATATGGTGACGAGTTACTGCCGATGCAGCAGCCTGTAGGTTGGGAATGGGGGAAACAGCTACACAGAGGAACTCATAGCAAACAGAGTTGTAATTGCCCAGAATGGAAAACGGCTGTTTTAAAACAAATAAAACAACATCATCAAAACCGGCATGGTCAGGATCTTGGCTTACGTGCAGTTGAACAGAATAATGCAGCTTTTGATCCCCTGAGGCACTTGGATCCAAAGCAAATAGAGCACAGAATGGGCAAGCAGCAGACAGGTAGTGGGATAAGAAAGACATTGCTGGATTACTTCACTTATGTTCCATCTGGGCTGCTCACAGAGGAATAACGTGTCTGTCCGAAAAATGGGCAAATGGCCAGAGGCTGCAGGGCTGGCCTAGAGGTAGCAGTCGGCAGGGAGGTGTGCACTGGTGGGCTGGGGATACCGTGGCTTCAACAGAGCTCCCACGGGCTCTGCCTCTCACAGTCCCTCCTCCAAGTCATCCTGCACATTCTAGCCTGACATCTCCTCTAGGCCCTGCCTCTGCCTTGCACATCCTGGGAACACACCCAGGCCACAGAGCCGAGTTAGTCCAACTTGGATGACGTACTTTCTACCAATTTCCTTTATTGTTACCTCCCAGGATGCTGGCCTCATTCACCAAGAATCCTTTTCTTGTTCAAGAAAACTACAGAAGTGAGGATCAAACAGCTTGGATGTTCCTGGCTGGGAAGGTGACACTTGTGCGTGACTTCTTTCTTTCTGGGTGCACAGCGTTAAAGCACACTGTGCTAGAACCTCAGTGTTCCTAAGCGCTGGCATTTCACATGCGCTTTCCAATGGAGCTAAGAGACTTGGCACTGCACCTCTGGAAGCGAAGTTCCCTCCTGGGCTGCCGATCTCCCATGGGTCCCTGCGTCCAGCATGCATGTACCGAGAACCTGTTGTGTGCATGGCTATGTTGTGTGAGAGGGATTCCGAGCCTCGTATCCTTTAAAGTGTTAATATTTTAGGAGCAGATATTGCCTGCGGAGAGAAAATTTTCTTAACGCGGACTCTCAGGATGCAGGGCATTCTCAGAACAAGCCTGTTTTTCTAGCCCTGTTCTGGCACCAATACAGCTTATCATCTCATTCTCGTCAGCAGATGCTTCCTAGCTGTGCAACTATACTTAGAAATAAAAATACGGCCCTGTTGAAATGCCAATAATTGACAACAGCAGCCATCATCATTTTGGACTTTTCTTGCAAAATGTAGTCTATGTTTGCTGCCCGTCGTCTTTAAGAGGCCATTTGAGAGAAACAACAGAAATCCATATTCCCAGAATGCTTCAGGTGCTCTGGCAACCACTGTTAATGAGCAAGAGCAAAACAGGGCTGCCAGCAATTTCCATATCCCAGGTGGTCTCTGACACCCTGGGCGGCTGCACCACTTTTCCCAGCAGCACAGAGCCAGTGAGCAGGCAGTGAGGATCTTCAGAAACATTCTTGCAATAAGGATGGCTTTTGCACCTCTGGAGGCTGCTCCAAATCCCAAAGATGGGGAAAAAAAATGTGTGTGTGTGTGTGTGTGTGTTTGTATATATATACACACACATATGTATGTGTGTCTTTATCCAATTTTGAAGCATAGTTGGCAAATCTAGTTTCTACACATTCTGAATCTTGCGGTCAATGTTGGAAGATATAGAAAGAGTCTAAATCTGGTTGGGGAATCTGGTGGTAGAAAAGAATGGGGAACAAATCTGCATGGACACCCCCGTGTATACCTATGGCTTTCTGGATGCTTGAGGACAGTTTTTTCCAGAAAGGCCACATGTTTTTTCTTTTCCAAAAAGAAGAATGTGACAGCAGACTCTGAAGGAGTCCTTCAGTCCATGGCAGCTTTATCAAAAAAGGGGAGTGACTTAAAGGAAAAAGATAGCAAAGAAAACTCAAGTCCACAGCTATAAGTGCTTTGAGCCAGAAAGCTGCCACTCGGCTTGGATAAATAGACATTCCCAGTGCTCATGGAGGACCCAGTGATTAATCAACTCATCAGCTTTTCAGGTTTTCTGCTGGGAATTGCTTCTACAACCAACTAGCGTGTTTGTTCTGAAGTGCCTTCGAGGCTGAAAGTTTGATGAGCACCACGTTTGTTGATACTTCACCTGTGATTGCTGTTCCTCCTGGGGGTGGCACTGTCCCTAATGGGGCATCTGCACAGCTTGTGGTTGTTGCTGTCACTTAGTGGGAGGGGCTGTGCTGGATGTCCTACATTGTGCAGGACAGTCCCAAACAATGAAGAATTTTTTTTCCAGCTTCTATGTCTCTTGAATATTTCACTGAACTAAACCTGGTACAAATAAAAATTTGTAGTGAAAAGTTTTGAAGAAATTTTACAAGGCTGTACCCAAAAGGTCCAGTAGGAGAATTGATTACAGAGAGGGAAGCTTAAATGGAATTTCTTTTCTCATAATTATTAAAAAACTCATTCATTTTATGCAATCTGTCAGTAGAGTGTATTAAATAAGCTTTCCACCTATCCATTTAGTTGAAGTGACATGAGCGTAGTTGTATAGGTAACTACAGAAACAACAAAACTGGATGTAAATATATAGAGGGGAGATGTAAGCCTCTTAACAAAATTAGAACCAATGATTATAAAATAGTACACATCGATGAAATATTGTGTTGTTGCCTCCTATGCATTTTAAAATATTTTTTAACGTGGTAAATCTACTTTGTGAAAAGTGCATATTAAAATTACCTTGGGGTTCTTATCTTTCTGTCTTCCATTGACATTGTCTCCAGAGTTTTCCCACATACTTTTTGATAG